GTCACAAGTTCTTAAAGCAGCTACATTCTAAATCGATTTAGATCAAAATAAACAACTGCAGTGGCTGTGAAAGTCTTAGTAATTTTGAAAACTTTGGTAGTAGATATGATTATCAATGCTATTTTTCAGCGCTTTGCATATTCCTTCATCTGCTTGATAATATTTGCCAATCGAAGGGATAGATGACAAGTTTGTTTACTTATTTTCCATTTATACATACTACTCAGGTGAGATACTACTACTACAAGGTTTTTACAATATTTATGAGTTTGTTGGTGGTAAAGTTCTTCGTTTGGGAAAAATTCAACAGAAGCAGATGAACAATGCTCGCTTTATGATCTGGAGAAAAATGTGCTATCGCTTTAAAATAAAATTTCCTCTATTTTTTTAATGTTGTATGATTATGATCAATCAATTAGAAACATGACATATAATAATAACATCTCAAAAAATTAGACCAGAAGCTTGAAATTATTAAGTACTATAGTTGTTGGACAGTAAGTAATAGTATCGCTTGAAAATCAAATTTTGTAATCTGTTTCCTCTGATTCAATAATGATTTTTTTTGTAATCTATGATTAAGATCAGTCTTAGAAACAGGACAGATGTGAGTATCCTTGAAATTAGACATATAATAATAACATCTTTAAAAACAGAATAGAAATTTGAAATCATCAAGTGCTATAGTTTTTTGACAAGTAATGGTGTCTGTTGTTTTGACAAGTCTTGGAAGTGACAAGTCCTTAAAGCAGCTACATTCTAAATCGAAGTACATACATTCTGCATTGAGATCAAAATAAACAACTGCAGTGGCTGTGAAAGTCTTAGTAATTTTGAAAACTTTGGTAGTAGACATGATTATCAATGCTATTTTTCAGCGCTTTGCATATTCCTTCATCTGCTTGATAATATTTGCCAATCGAAGGGATAGATGACAAGTTTGTTTACTTATTTTCCATTTATACATACTACTCAGGTGAGATACTACTACTACAAGGTTTTTACAATATTTATGAGTTTGTTGGTGGTAAAGTTCTTCGTTTGGGAAAAATTCAACAGAAGCAGATGAACAATGCTCGCTTTATGATCTGGAGAAAAATGTGCTATCGCCTTAAAATAAATTTCCTCTATTTTTTTAATGTTGTATGATTATGATCAATCAATTAGAAACATGACATATAACATAACATCTCTAAAAATTAGACCAGAAGCTTGAAATTATTAAGTACTATAGTTGTTGGACAGTAAGTAATAGTATCGCTTGAAAATCAAATTTTGTAATCTGTTTCCTCTGATTCAATAATGAATTTTTCTGTAATCTATGATTAAGATCAGTCTTAGAAACAGGACAGATGTGAGTATCCTTGAAATTAGACATATAATAATAACATCTTTAAAAACAGAATAGAAATTTGAAATCATCAAGTGCTATAGTTTTTTGACAAGTAATGGTGTCTGTTGTTTTGACAAGTCTTGGAAGTGACAAGTCCTTAAAGCAGCTACATTCTAAATCGAAGTACATACATTCTGCATTGAGATCAAAATAAACAACTGCAGTGGCTGTGAAAGTCTTAGTAATTTTGAAAACTTTGGTAGTAGATATGATTATCAATGCTATTTTTCAGCGCTTTGCATATTCCTTCATCTGCTTGATAATATGTGCCACTGTTAGCCAGCTAATAAGTCTACATATTTAAATAAATTGAACTGAGGGTCAAGACTGAACTCTTACTGAACTTCATAGAAGTAGTCACAAACTTCAAACCGTGCACTGACAGAATCTCACACCTAACACAAATGCCTATGTAAAAGTGAGCAATGATTCCATTTGCATTCAAAACATGAGAGTAATCAACAATTTTCATCACTTGTACAGAAATTTGTTAGTGTAGTTAAAGACTAATTAGATCTTCTAATTCTGACAAGTTTGTTTACTTATTTTCCATTTATACATACTACTCAGGTGAGATATTACTACTACAAGGTTTTTACAATATTTATGAGTTTGTTGGTGGTAAAGTTCTTCGTTTGGGAAAAATTCAACAGAAGCAGATGAACAATGCTCGCTTTATGATCTGGAGAAAAATGTGCTATCGCTTTAAAATAAAATTTCCTCTATTTTTTTTAATGTTGTATGATTATGATCAATCAATTAGAAACATGACATATAATAATAACATCTTAAAAAATTAGACCAGAAGCTTGAAATTATTAAGTACTATAGTTGTTGGACAGTAAGTAATAGTATCGCTTGAAAATCAAATTTTGTAATCTGTTTCCTCTGATTCAATAATGAATTTTTCTGTAATCTATGATTAAGATCAGTCTTAGAAACAGGACAGATGTGAGTATCCTTGAAATTAGACATATAATAATAACATCTTTAAAAACAGAATAGAAATTTGAAATCATCAAGTGCTATAGTTTTTTGACAAGTAATGGTGTCTGTTGTTTTGACAAGTCTTGGAAGTGACAAGTCCTTAAAGCAGCTACATTCTAAATCGAAGTACATACATTCTGCATTGAGATCAAAATAACAACTGCAGTGGCTGTGAAAGTCTTAGTAATTTTGAAAACTTTGGTAGTAGATATGATTATCAATGCTATTTTTCAGCGCTTTGCATATTCCTTCATCTGCTTGATAATATGTGCCACTGTTAGCCAGCTAATAGGTCTGAACTGAGGGTCAAGACTGAACTCTTACTGAACTCATAGAAGTGACTGACTACTTACGTTTGCAATAGAAACACATAAACTGTAAACACTTCACACAACACTTTCACTATTTGTAGCTGCGATTGCTTGTTCTAAGCTTCTAATTAATCCTTATTAACGGGAGCCTCATTATTAAGATTTCGATAATGTTTACATTCATACATTGTAGGTTAGAAATCGGAGGTGATGCAATCAGACATACGCTTTATATCAATCGGTTAGAAAAGCGGAGCTTTATGCCATATTGTAAAATTATAACATGAATAGGTGCTTACAATCATATTTTTACAGTATTTATAAACCGATGATGATTTCAATAAATTGATGAACGTCAAAGAATAATTGCAGCCTTTGGCGGTAGACATCGCAATCTGTAAACATAAAAACTACTAGATTCATCCGATTTTAATGGCTCTAGTCCGGTCCGTTTAGACAATGGAATATAGAAATTTTGAATCTTTTCGAAATGTTGATTTTCACGCGCAAAAAGGACAATTCTATTTGGCGTGATCCAATATTGGATGAAGCGATAGTCATGAAGCCGAAAATGGCACGTTTTTGACGTTCCGCTCGCACTCGCTCGCTTTCGTAATACGATCGCATCTACAATACCCCGCCTAACAGGAATCCGGGGATCTGGAAGGGAAATTCAAAATTGAAACTTCAAACTAAAAATGTGTGCATATCTTTGAATTTTCTAATCTGCCGAGTTTAAAAAATGCGATCGGGTAACGTGTCGTATGTCCGGTTTAATCAGGAGACTTTGGCCTTTCGTTTTGCGAAAAAAAATCGTAGCTACGTCGCTCCGTAACGCAGGTCCGTATCGACGAAGACAAAGTACGCCGAAAAACGGTTGTCATCGGTACTTTTGAGGCGCTCAAAGTTTACTTTTTCGAAATTTGACGGTAATTCTGACGGTCAGAATCGTTTCGTCAGCTCATTATCGTTATTTTTCGATAGCTGTATAATTTTACTCGCTCACGTACGGTAGTAATAAGCGAGGACAGAGCCGGATGACAAGGTGACTTTTCACGCGTCGAAAAGTAGCGTATTGTCGAGGAATTTTTAAAAAATCGAAACTTTTCAACGTAAACGAATAATGATGATGAAAATAGTATTAAAAGAGTGTCCGAAGCATGGGCTTTCTCACGCAAAAATCGTCAGGTTCGTAGCTCCTTTATCTTCGGAGGAGATAGCTGATATACGGCGAAGCAGCGCGCTTTATACGCAAAAAGTCATTCTTGACGACGTTCGAGGTTCGTTTATTCGAAACGGGTACCGTAAACGAAAAAACGTCTCTCTGCGTAATTTGTAGCGCTCGCCGAGATGTACGAAACGCGGCACGCGAAATTCCTTTTCTCGTCGGCATAAGGGAGATATCGTAGTTTTCAAGGCGATTCGTCATTTTTGTCGCTTTTTTTTCGAACGTTTCTAGAAAAAAAACCGAGACGCGGAACCGAACAGATTTAGCTTATTGGCACGTATTTTTCGTTTAGCTATCGAACGAGACCGATCTCGAGTCGATATTTCGATAAACGGCGAAACCAGTGTGAAATAACGCCGCGTACCGTCCGGAAAACGGTCGATTTTTCGACTTTACCGGCCGTTTTCGATCCGATCCGTTCCTCTCGCCGCGACGGGTCCCGCTCCCCGGTAAAGCGCCGAGTTTCTACTTTCCGAAACGGTACCTCTTTCCCTCCGAACGTTTCGCGAACCTCCTAAAAAACCGCGAAAACCGCGTCGACGTCGCACGGCCTGACTCTAACGTCACGTGACCTTCCAATTCAAAAACAATCGATCACCGCTTAATATAGTCGACTAGCGCAGTTTCTGGCATGCTAACGCTATGCCAAATATTGTACGTTGATGTCTTTATTTAAAACCTCACGTAGCGCAGTTGCTGGTATGCTAATGCAATGCTAGCGATAACTATCTCTAATCATTTTTTATCCTTTGGCATCTTTGATCTGGTATCTGGTATCAGGTATCTGGTATCTGGTATCCGGTATCCGGTGTCTGGTATCTGGTATCTGGTATCAGGTATCTGGTGTCTGGTATCTGATATCTGGTATCTGGTATCCGGTATCCGGTGTCTGGTATCTGGTATCTGGTATCTGGTATCTGATGTCTGGTATCTGGTATCTGGTGTCTGGCATCTGGTATCTGGTATCTGGTGTCTGGTGTCTGGTATCTGATGTCTGGTATCTGGTGTCTGGTGTCTGGTATCTGGTATCTGGTATCTGGTATCTGGTATCTGGTGTCTGGTATCTGGTATTTGGTATCTGTTATCTCTTTATCTGGTATCTGGTTTCTGGTGGCTGGTATCTGGTATCTCGTATCTGGTATCTGGTATCTGGTTTCTGGTGTCTGGTATCTGATGTCTGGTATCCGGTATCCGGTGTCTGGTATCTGGTATCTGGTATCTGGTGTCTGGTATCTGATGTCTGGTATCTGGTATCCGGTGTCTGGCATCTGGTATCTGGTATCTGGTATCTGGTGTCTGGTATCTGATGTCTGGTATCTGGTGTCTGGTGTCTGGTATCTGGTATCTGGTATCTGGTGTCTGGTATCTGGTATTTGGTATCTGTTATCTCTTTATCTGGTATCTGGTTTCTGGTGGCTGTATCTGGTATCTGGTATCTCGTATCTGGTGTTTGGTATCTGGTATCTGGTGTCTGGTGTCTGGTATCTGGTATCTGGTATCTCGTATCTGGTATCTGGTTTCTGGTGTCTGGTATCTGATGTCTGATATCTGGTATCTGGTGTCTGGTATCTGGTATCTGGTGTCTGGTGTCTGGTATCTGGTATCTGGTATCTCGTATCTGGTATCTGGTTTCTGGTATCTGATGTCTGGTATCTGGTGTCTGGTATCTGGTATCTGGTATCTGGTATCTGGTGTCTGGTATCTGGTGTCTAGTATCTGGTTTCTGGTATCTGTTATCTTTTATAAGTTATCAGTTTTCATTTTTCATTTTTCTATTTTAATTTTTAATTTTTCATTTTTAATTTTTCTATTTTAATTTTTAATTTTCAATTTTCAATTTTCAATTTTCAATTTTCAATTTTCAATTTTCAATTTTCCGATTTTTTCGATTTTCGATTCGATTTTTCGATTTTTCGATTTTTCGATTTTTCGATTTTTCGATTTTTCGATTTTTCGATTTTTCGATTTTTCGATTTTTCGATTTTTCGATTTTTCGATTTTTCGATTTTTCGATTTTTCGATTTTTCGATTTTTCGATTTTTCGATTTTTCGATTTCGATTTTTCGATTTTTCGATTTTTCGATTTTTCGATTTTTCGATTTTTCGATTTTTCGATTTTTCGATTTTTCGATTTTTCGATTTTTCGATTTTTCGATTTTTCGATTTTTCGATTTTTCGATTTTTCGATTTTTCGATTTTTCGATTTTTCGATTTTCGATTTTTCGATTTTTCGATTTTTCGATTTTTCGATTTTTCGATTTTTCGATTTTTCGATTTTTCGATTTTTCGATTTTTCGATTTTCGATTTTTCGATTTTTCGATTTTCGATTTTTCGATTTTTCGATTTTTCGATTTTCGATTTTTCGATTTTCGATTTTTCGATTTTTCGATTTTTCGATTTTTCGATTTTCGATTTTCGATTTTTCGATTTTTCGATTTTTCGATTTTCGATTTTTCGATTTTTCGATTTTTCGATTTTTCGATTTTCGATTTTTCGATTTTTCGATTTTTCGATTTTTCGATTTTTCGATTTTTCGATTTTTCGATTTTTCGATTTTTCGATTTTTCGATTTTTCGATTTTTCGATTTTTCGATTTTTCGATTTTTCGATTTTTCGATTTTTCGATTTTTCGATTTTTCGATTTTTCGATTTTTCGATTTTTCGATTTTTCGATTTTTCGATTTTTCGATTTTTCGATTTTCGATTTTTCGATTTTTCGATTTTTCGATTTTTCGATTTTTCGATTTTCGATTTTTCGATTTTCGATTTTTCGATTTTTCGATTTTTCGATTTTTCGATTTTTCGATTTTCGATTTTTCGATTTTTCGATTTTCGATTTTTCGATTTTCGATTTTTCGATTTTTCGATTTTTCGATTTTCGATTTTTCGATTTTCGATTTTTCGATTTTCGATTTTTCGATTTTTCGATTATTCGATTTTCGATTTTTCGATTTTTCGATTTGATTTTTTGATTTTTAATTTTCAATTTTCAATTTTTCATTTTTCATTTTTCATTCTTCAGATTTCAGTTTTCATTTTTTAGTTTTCAGTTATCAGTTATTTGTTATCTGTTATCTGTTTTCTTTTATCTTTTACTTTTTATCTGTTATCTGTCATCTTTTATCTGTTATAAGTTATCTGTTATCTGTTATATGTTACACCTGTTACCTGTTACCACCTTTTACCTGTTATCTGTTATTTTCCATATAGCATTGAAAATATCCTGTATACAATTGTATAACAGACTCAGATTTATGTGAGATGCCGGCAACGTCGCATGTGTTGTTGTTAATACCATACATGGCGTTATAAAATCTTCCATGTAGCAAATTGTATAGCAGACTTAGATTTATATGAGGATCGTCGCATAAATCTAGCTATAACACGACTTGCAAAAAAATGGCGCTTGACACTGACATATGTCAACCGTGTTCGTCTATGGATAGCAGTGGACTATGCTTTCTTCAGTGTATATGTTTTCTGTTTTGTAATGTCAATGTCATTGTCATAGGTAATTTTTTCTAACCTGGAAAATGAAATGTATTTTGTTTAAATTAAAATTCAATAACTCCTATTGTGAGATGTGCGCATCTACAACATAATGAAAGGAAAAATTAAGATTCTGAAAGTTAATTCCTAAATATCATAGTAAGGAAATCCGTAAAACTAAAAAAAAAGTAAACATAAACACCTTGAGAAAACTTCTTCCGTATCAAGTGGTTAAAGTGGAGTTTTAAAACAATTTTTGTTGAAAATAAGGCCGTTAGTTTACCAGCAGGTATGTAACTGAGCGATCCGCTAATGTGTGTGTATCTTGCTTATAAAAAATGCTGTATTTAGATATTGCTATTCACATGAGATACCGTTCTTTGATAGGATATTTTCAAATTGAACTTTTGTCTTATTTTTACTATTTATTGCAGGAGAACAGTTGTTGAACCAGGTCCTGGTGCATACTTATGTAGTTGTCACTTTGTGGATGGGAAAAAAGAAAATAGACCTACATTGTTTAGGTATAATAGGGAGAAGCAATTGAACTTTCCATCGCCAGAAAGAAGAACCCGTAAAAAATAACAACAATGTGAAAATTGAACTCTATAATATGTTACTTCAAATTGGGCCCTTTTAAGGGATGTATGTAATAATTATGTGATCTGCAAAAATAAAAATAGTTTAGATACAACACATGGCATCATAAATTATTTTAATGTAGAGTTCAGTACTCGTATAGGTAACTTTCACTCCCCTGGCAGGCTTAATCTAAGCGATATCACAAATATGTCTATACCAAGTTACGATTATACTGTGCAAGAGTACTTATCTTACAAATTTTGACAAGTAATGGTGTCTGTTGTTTTGACAAGTCTTGGAAGTCACAAGTTCTTAAAGCAGCTACATTCTAAATCGATTTAGATCAAAATAAACAACTGCAGTGGCTGTGAAAGTCTTAGTAATTTTGAAAACTTTGGTAGTAGATATGATTATCAATGCTATTTTTCAGCGCTTTGCATATTCCTTCATCTGCTTGATAATATTTGCCAATCGAAGGGATAGATGACAAGTTTGTTTACTTATTTTCCATTTATACATACTACTCAGGTGAGATACTACTACTACAAGGTTTTTACAATATTTATGAGTTTGTTGGTGGTAAAGTTCTTCGTTTGGGAAAAATTCAACAGAAGCAGATGAACAATGCTCGCTTTATGATCTGGAGAAAAATGTGCTATCGCTTTAAAATAAAATTTCCTCTATTTTTTTTAATGTTGTATGATTATGATCAATCAATTAGAAACATGACATATAATGATAACATCTCAAAAAATTAGACCAGAAGCTTGAAATTATTAAGTACTATAGTTGTTGGACAGTAAGTAATAGTATCGCTTGAAAATCAAATTTTGTAATCTGTTTCCTCTGATTCAATAATGAATTTTTCTGTAATCTATGATTAAGATCAGTCTTAGAAACAGGACAGATGTGAGTATCCTTGAAATTAGACATATAATAATAACATCTTTAAAAACAGAATAGAAATTTGAAATCATCAAGTGCTATAGTTTTTTGACAAGTAATGGTGTCTGTTGTTTTGACAAGTCTTGGAAGTGACAAGTCCTTAAAGCAGCTACATTCTAAATCGAAGTACATACATTCTGCATTGGGATCAAAATAAACAACTGCAGTGGCTGTGAAAGTCTTAGTAATTTTGAAAACTTTGGTAGTAGATATGATTATCAATGCTATTTTTCAGCGCTTTGCATATTCCTTCATCTGCTTGATAATATGTGCCACTGTTAGCCAGCTAATAAGTCTACATATTTAGATGAATTGAACTGAGGGTCAACACTGAACTCTTACTGAACTTCATAGAAGTGACTGACTACTTACGTTTGCAATAGAAACACATAAACTGTAAACACTTCACAACACTGTCACTATTTGTAGCTGCGATTGCTTGTTCTAAGCTTCTAATTAATCCTTATTAACGGGAGCCTCATTATTAAGATTTCGATAATGTTTACATTCATACATTGTAGGTTAGAAATCGGAGGTGATGCAATCAGACATACGCTTTATATCAATCGGTTGGAAAAGCGGAGCTTTATGCCATATTGTAAAATTATAACATGAATAGGGGCTTACAATCATATTTTTATCGTATTTATAAACCGATGATGATTTCAATAAATTGATGAACGTCAAAGAATAATTGCAGCCTTTGGCGGTTGACATCGCAATCTGTAAACATAGAAAACTACTAGATTCATACGATTTTAATGGCTCTAGTCCGGTCCGTTTAGACAATGGAATATAAAAATTTTGAATCTTTTCGAAAATGTTTATTTTCACGCGAAAAAAGGACAATGGTATTCGGCGTGATCCTATATTCGATGAAGCGACCGACATAAAGCCGAAAATAGCACGTTTCGGACGTTTCGCTCGCACTCGCTCGCTTTCGTAATACGATCGTATCTACAATACCCCGCCTAACAGGAATCCGGGGATCTGGAGGGGAAATTCAAAATTGAAACGTCAAACTAAAAATGTGTGCATATCTTTGAATTTTTGTAATCTGCCGAGTTTAAAAAATGCGATCGGGTAACGTGTCGTATGTCGGTTTAATCAGGAGACTTTGGCCTTTCGTTTTGCGAAAAAAAATCGTAGCCACGTCGCTCCGTAACGCAGGTCCGTATCGACGAAGACAAAGTACGCCGAAAAACGGTTGTCATCGGTACTTTTGAGGCGCTCAAAATTTACTTTTTCGAAATTTGACGGTAATTCTAACGGTCAGAATCGCTTCGTCAGCTCATTATCGTTATTTTTCGATAGCTGTATAATTTTTACTCGCTCACGTACGGTAGTAATAAGCGAGGACAGAGCCGGATGACAAGGTGACTTTTTCACGCGTCGAAAAGTAGCGTATTGTCGAGGAATTTTTAAAAAATCGAAACTTTTCAACGTAAACGAATAATGATGATGAAAATAGTATTAAAAGAGTGTCCGAAGCATGGGCTTTCTCACGCAAAAATCGTCAGGTTCGTAGCTCCTTTATCTTCGGAGGAGATAGCTGATTTACGGCGAAGCAGCGCGCTTTATACGCAAAAAAGTCATTCTTGACGACGTTCGAGGTTCGTTTATTCGAAACGGGTACCGTAAACGAAAAAACGTCTCTCCGCGTAATTTGTAGCGCTCGCCGAGATGTACGAAACGCGGCACGCGAA